GCGGATTCGGATGCGTTATGGCTCTGATAGAATTACATAGGCAGATGGTGGATGGGCGAGCCGAAGATTTATGGCTGATCGGTAGAAATTTATGTAAAGTTGAGAAGAGTAAGCCAGTGGAATTGTTGGCGGCCAGTCGGCCCTCGTCCGCGATTCCCTGGGCGAATGCCAGCTGCCGCCGGGGATTTGCGGTGCTGCGTCGTTCATCATCACTGTTTTTCTGCATGGATTTTCGCCAGCCGTTACAAGTGCGCCTTTTTGCATCAGCGGCCGGCAACATGAACAGATTTCGACCATCGAAATGGCTTCGCCTTCACAATAGATTTGTTTTTACGTGCCAGGCAGCTTCGTCACATGTACGCCAAGCGATATTTGTCTGAGCGAGCATTTTCCATTTTCCTTACCTTGTGGGTGGTCCAGACTGATTTTTCCATCTGTTTCAGTTAAAAGCTACGAGGTAGTTTTGACCACTACCACTCGACACTCGAGTCGATGCTTCTCCCGACCCATAAAACATGATTTTCTTACGTCTGGTCCACGGTATGATTTTTAAACATCTCTGACGCCCTTCCACCTAGAGTCTTCTGAAATGGCATTTATAAGTTAAGCTCTAGCTACTCATGGACACCGGTTAGACCAGTGGTTAAATTGCTGTTCTTCGAAACGAGCGGTGCTTGTGGATGGAAAGGACGAGTCATACATAAATACGTACATCCGTCTATCCATCCGTCTGTACATACATACATACATATAAGCTTTTAGTCCGTACTGCTTGTTTAAAAATTTCTGGGCATTTCTTGGCGAAACCTCATTTAATCCGTGCGAAGTTGTCTTTGTCTTTTGACCCGGTTGATATTGTCGCAACATTGAATAATTAATGCTTCCTTGACGCCGTTGTTCAATAGTTGTTTCTGCCTGAAGATGCCGCCACATTCTGGCCATTGGGGGAAGGGGGTGGTGTCCTTGCTGTGCCGCTTGGTACACATTCCCGGAGATTTTTTTCGCGTCATTCCTTGACCTGCCTAAAGGCAAGGTTTTGTTTTCTTCCCAGATGATTTTTTATCATGCTCATGCTCCATGATATTCTCCATCTTCTCCATCTTGACGGTTCTTTGTTCTCTGAGTGGCAGTGTTCCTTGTTTCTCCAATGTAATATTTCCCACAGTTACATGG